CAAACAGTTGGGCCAACTTCTGCTGCTTTCCTAAGTGTATTAGCAGGGAGCTGAATTGGAAGTGGAGCAACCAGGACTCAATCTGGTGCCCGTATGGGATGCTGCCGTTGTAGACAGTAACTTTACCCTCAACACCACAATGGTGGCCCCATCTCCTCCTCCTCCTATTTTTTTTCTTCAAGATTTACTCATTTGTTTATCTATTTGAAAGGCAGAGTGGCAGAGAGAGAGAGAGAGTGGGAGAGACAGAGATCTTCCATCTGCAAGTTCACTTCCCAAATGGGCACAATCCCAGGGTTGGGCCAGCCTGAAGCCAGGAGCCTGGAACTCTATCTGGGCGCCCTTATGGGTAATAGGGGCTGATCCTTGCTGTTCCATTAGTTTTTTCTTCCCATATTTTGATGCTGTGTTGTTAGGTGCATGCATGTTAAGGATTATTAATTATGTCTTCTTGGAGAATTTACCTACTTATAATGAAATGCAGTGCCCCTCTTTATCTCTGATAACTTTCCTTGCTCTGAAGTCTTCTCTGCCCAAAATTAATAAGCTACTACCACTTTTTTTTTTTTTTTTTTTTTTTGACAGGCAGAGTGGACAGTGAGAGAGAGAGACAGAGAGAAAGGTCTTCCTTTTGCCGTTGGTTCACCCTCCAATGGCCGCCGCGGCCAGCGCGCTGCGGCCAGCGCACCGCGCTGATCCGATGGCAGGAGCCAGGAGCCAGGTGCTTTTCCTGGTCTCCCATGGGGTGCAGGGCCCAAGCACCTGGGCCATCCTCCACTGCACTCCCTGGCCACAGCAGAGAGCTGGCCTGGAAGAGGGGCAACCGGGACAGAATCCGGCGCCCCTACCGGGACTAGAACCTGGTGTGCCGGCGCCGCTAGGCGGAGGATTAGCCTAGTGAGCCGCGGCGCCGGCCACTACTACCACTTTCTTAAGTGTTATCATGGCATATATTTCTTTATCCTTTAAGTTTTTTTTTTTTTTTGACAGGCGGAGTGGACAGTGAGAGAGAGAGACAGAGAGAAAGGTCTTCCTTTGCCGTTGGTTCACCCTCCAATGGCCGCCGCGGCCGGCGCGCTGCGGCCAGCGCACCGCGCTGATCCGATGGCAGGAGCCAGGAGCCAGGTGCTTTTCCTGGTCTCCCATGGGGTGCAGGGCCCAAGCACCTGGGCCATCCTCCACTGCACTCCCTGGCCACAGCAGAGGGCTGGCCTGGAAGAGGGGCAACCGGGACAGAATCCGGCGCCCCGACCGGGACTAGAACCCGGTGTGCCGGCGCCGCTAGGCGGAGGATTAGCCTAGTGAGCCGCGGCGCCGGCCTTTATCCTTTAAGTTTTAAACTATGTGTATCTTTATATTTAAAATAAATTTCTTGTATTAGATGTGTATTTGGATCCTTGCTTTTTGATCTACTGGACAATCTGTTTGTAAGTAGACAATTCATGCTCAAAGTGATTTCTGATATATTTTTTACATTTTTTTGTCCCTTTGTTATTCCTGTTTTTGTCTCTCACTCTTTTCTGCTTTTTGTGGTTGTAACTGAGCACTTCATAGGATTCAAGTTTTTCCCTTTCTTGGCACATCAGTTATATTTCTTTTTTTAACTTTTAAGTAATTATTCTAGAATTTGAAACATACATTTCCAACTAACTCAAGTTCACTTTCATTTTTTAAAATTTTTTAAAATGTTTTTTAAAGATTTATTTATTTAATTGAAAGAGTTACACACAGAGAGAAGGAGGGGCAGAGGCAGAAAGAGAGAGGTCTTCCATCCTCTGGTTCACTCCCCAGTTTGCCTCAATGGCTGGAGCTGTGCCAATCCGAAGCCAGGATCCAGGAGCTTCCTGCAGGTTTCATACATGGGTGCAAGGGCGTAAGGACTTGGGCCATCCTCTACTGTTTTCCCAGGCCACAGCAGAGAGCTGGATTGGAAGTGGAGCAGTCAGGACTTGAACCAGCATCCATATGGGATGCTGGCACTGCAGGCAGCAGCTTTACTCATTAGGCCACAGCGATGGCCCCTCAAGTTCACTTTCAAAAAACATTACATTGCTTCATGGGTAATGTGAGTACTTTTTGATGACAGAATCTCAATTCTTCCCTACTGTCCCCTGCATCATTAATTTTCAAAAAAATCTACAATGCAGTAATTTTTCAGAAACCAAATTCGAAATCAGATGTAACCCTTGTTCTTGTTAAGAACCTCTACAGAACCTGGAGGAAGAATGCATGTGGGTCTCAGAAACTGAAATTAGAAAGTTAAGGCACACAGGATGCTTATCTCTGTTCTTCGGTTTGCTTCTTGTCATTTCCCCATTTTTTTATAGAGTAGGAAAAACAAGGAAGGAAGAGGTGGGCGAATGCTTCTCATTTCTGATTCTAAAATTCTTTTCAGTAAAATTTATTTTTATTTTATTTGAAAGACAGAGAGACACACAGAAAGATATCTTCCATTTGCTGGTTTACTCCTGAAATGACTATAGCTACCAGGGCTGGGCCAGGCCAAAACTAGGAGACCAGAACTCAGTCCAGGATTCCTACATGAATGGCAAAGGCCCAAGTACTTGAGCCATCATCTATCTGTTGCTTCCTGGGGTGCACAGTAGCAAGAAGCTGAATTGGCAATGGTGGAGTTGGAACTGGAACTGGGCATTCCATTATGGGATGTGGGCATTCCAAGTGACATATCTATCACTGTGCTAAATGCCCATCCTAGATTCTAAAATTCTTGGAAGGGGCTCTACTCTGTTCATCTGGGTGAAGTGACTGCTATGTGGTTAAATATCTTTGCTTAGGGAGTGACATCAGTAGAAGGCTGTTTAATCAGAGCTGCTCATGTGGGATACCCATAGTGGACCAATTTCCATGACTGGGGCAGAGGGGGTGGTGGGTGGATGCAGAGTTGGTTTTTGTTTTATTTTTAGAGTAACGGTTTATTTACTTATTAGAAATACAGAGCTCACTGTCTAACTTTGCCTGTCAAAAAATAAATAAATAAAAAATAAAAAAGAAATGCAGAGTTAGAGAGAAAGAGAGTGAGATATCAATTTTCCATTTGCCAGTTCAATCCCCAAATGCCCACAATGACTAGGGCTGGGACAGGCCAAAGCTAGGAGACTGGAACTCCATTGGGGTCTCCCACATGAGTGGTAGGGCCTAAGTACTTAGGCCATCTTTTGCTGGCTTTCCATGTGCATTAGCAGAGAGATGGGTCAGAAGCACAGCAGCTGGGTCTTGAACCGGCATTCATATGTTATGCAGATGTTGCAGGAGTGGCTTAACCTGCTGTGCCACAACACCAGCTCCAGAGTTGTGTTTTGAAAATGATTGACAAAGAGTGGTATCTCATAAATGGAAAATCAATTAACGTACTTTGAATGTAAATTTTAAGATATTAGCATGTTTTTCCCTGTGCTGGCTTTGTGATGACTTTTGTGTAATTTTAGCTATGGTTAACTGTGTATCACATGGAATAAGTCTTACTGACTTCTACCCTACTACAATTCATGACATTGGTTTCCTTTGTCCCTCTGTAAATACTTCTAGTTTCAAGTAATTTCGTGCATGCATGGAAAGCAGATGACACAAAACAATTCAGCACTTCTCATGGAAGGTAATGTGCTTCCTTATCTAGTGGCCAGGACAGAGAGGCTGGAGGGTTGACCTTTGTTGAAACATCAGGTGAAGGCCTCTCTATGACTAGTTGAAGAATATGGTGATGTGAGCACTGTTATGAGGCGCTCTGAATGATCCAGTCTCTGGGTGTTCTCCAAAGAAGCCACATTCTTTGTTGCCTCTAAATCTTTGCCAAGTTGGAGTGGTGGAAAGAGCATGGATTTAATTGCATCTTAGATTTGCATTGAAATCCTACCTCTTTCATCATCTAAGTGTGTCATCTTCATTTGGCCCAGAAATGCAAGTGTTCGAGTATTGTAGAAGAGACAGGTGACACTAGAACAGGTGTGGAGAGATATTAAATACGGAGTTTAGCAGAAACAAGCATCGTCTACATGAAGTTCCCCCACTGTAGCTGGTTATGTTAAAGTGATGACGTCACTGACATTCACCTTTGTAACAAGTGAGATGTATCAGAGACTTGGGTGGTCCAGCCATCTCTCAGCTAACCACTAACATTCCTGAACACATTATATTAGTTTGCGGAAAGTGTTGGCTTCTATGAAGAGTCTTCAAAAGATACATGTAAAATGCATATTCTGAAAAAGCTGTGCATGGATTTCAAAATTTTTAATCCCTAAATAAACTTATCTTTTCATTCTATTTCCTATAAACTTTCTGAAGTACCCAAGTGTATTAAATGATGCTTATAGTTTCAGGGGTTAATTTTTACAAAAGATGAATTTTACTATATTTTAAAAATTTAATCCTGATAATTAGATTGCAAGTTCAGAAACACAATCTGTAACTGGCGCCGCAGCTCAATAGGCTAATCCTCCGCCTGTGGCGCTGGCACCCCAGGTTCTAGTCCCGGTTGCTCCTCTTCCAGTCCAGCTCTCTACTGTGGCCCAGAAGAGCAGTGGAGGATGGCTCAGGTCCTTGGGCCCTGCACCCGCATGGGAGACCAGAGGAAGCACCTGGCTCCTGGCTTCGGATCAGTGCAGTGCACCGGCCGCAGCGCGCTGGCCGCAGCGGCCATTGGAGGGTGAACCAACGGTAAAGGAAGACCTTTCTCTCTGTCTCTCTCTCTCACTGTGTAACTCTGCCTGTCAAAAAAAAAATAAAATAAAAATAATAATAAAAAAAAGAAACACAATCTGTGAGCAAAATTCACAGCTGCACTATCTGAGAACATGTGTGTGACTATGCAGGAAGGAAGGGAAATTCATCCGAAGGCTACACATTAGATAATATCACCCATTTGCGGTAAAATTCTTCTATGGAAAAACTCCAGGAGAAAATAAATCTTAATGTAGAAACAGTGGCTTCTACGCTATTAGAACTCATGACATTTGTTTCCTTTGTCCCTCTCTCAATACTTCCAGTTTCAAGTACTTCATGCATGCATGGAAAGCAGACGACACAGAACATTTCGGCCCTTCCTATAGAAGGTGATGTGCTTCCTGATCTAGTGCCCAACACGGAAGGGATGGAGGGTTGAACTTTGTTGAAACATTAACTGAAGGCCACTCTGTGACTAGCTGAAGAATATGGTGACCTGTGGGTTTTTGGTGAACTCTCTACCTGGTATAGGGATAATCCTATGAGTATCAAAATTAACTGAAAATCGATCTCTGTAAAAAATATGAATGGGAAATGAAGAGGAAGGAGGAAGAAAGGAGGGTATAATGGGTGGGAGGGAGGTAGAGGGGGAAGAAGCATCATGTTCCCAAATCTGTATATATTGAGTGCATGAAGTTGTATTTCTCCCATCCAAGTACTAACCAGGCCCAGCCCTGCTTAGCTTCCAAGATCAGACGAGATCGGGCACGTTCGGGGTGGTATGGCTGTAGACTAAAGTTGTATTTCTTAAACAAAATTAAAAAAAGAGGAAAAAAAGTTAAAAAAAATTATATACCACACTTCCTTTTTCAGAAATAAATATTACAAAAATATCTTATCAATAGGCATCATTATTTTTCATTTTGTGAGATTGTAACATCTAAATAAAAAATAAAAATTTTTAAGTAGCCCAACTTGAATACTATCTTAGTTACTTCCAATGAAAGTACTATATGTTTTCCAAATTTATGTTTGTCTGAAAGGCTGCCCTTAGGGACAGGCATTTGTAGTTTTGATGTTACCAATTTTTTTTTTCACTCATCAAAATTTAGAAGGAGACAATGCCGTTACTATTTATTACATTTTATCCTGAAGAGCATGGATTATAAACTAATTAGATAAATCTAATAGTGTCTATCACCAGAGATTGTCCTTATTGGAATAGCTTTGGTGTTCTAAAACAGAATTTGGAATCCTGTTTTCTTTCCTATTTATTTCTATATATTAAAAGTCCTATGTTAATTTCAACATATGTTACAATACTTACTGTTTTTGTAATAATGCAAAGATAATACAGAGAAGATTAGTTAATGTTTGGATTAATTTTAATACATTACATGTATTTTGCAAATATTATTTTTGTATGTAAGTCCAATATTTCTGGAATAAGGTCAGCAGCAAAGTAATCTTTGAGTACAGCTCCATGTACTATGTTGTAGATAAACTTAGCACATGAAGTGCCTTATCATAACAGCTTTTCTTTGTCATTCTCCTTTTGTGTGTGTCCAGTTAATACTTCACTGACTGTGCTGATGGGTACAAAGGCTGTACTCTGTTGCCATCCTATCCCATTGACAAATGTGGTGCTAATAACATGGGAAATAATCCCCAGAGACAGGCCTATCTGCAAAATATCCTACAAGGGAGGAACAAATGAGATCACAAAAAACAACTGTACTGATGAGAGAATCACCTGGGCCTCCAGACCTGATGTAAACCCTGGACTTCAGATCCACCCAGTGGCTCTCAGTCATGATGGCTATTACAGGTGTCAAATGGCAGCATCTAATGGGAATTTCGATCATGGGTATCGCCTCCAAGTGTCAGGTAAGGGACATCATGTATGTAGCATTTCAGATCACTAGATTTGACACCAAAACAAATACCTCTGTAAATTGCATATCCCTGATGGTAAGATTTTTTCCTTAAATCTCCGCAGTTTGCCCTGAAGTGACGCTGTCTCCCGTCAAGAACAGAACCGCGGTGTGCAAGGCTGTTGCAGGGAAGCCGGCTGCGCAGGTCTCTTGGGCCCCAGTAGGGGACTGTGTCACTGAGCAAGAACATTGGGACAATGGCACAGTGACTGTCTGGAGTACGTGCCGTTGGCCAGATAGCAATGTGTCTGCTGTGACCTGCTCTGTCTCCCATTTGTGTGGCAACAAGAGCTTATCCCAAAATCTACTTCCTGGTTAGTAATTCTCCTAGTTTTGTATTTGATATTTTTATTCTTTCAGAACAATCATGTTAAGAGGGGATAAAGAGTGTGTAGAGATATATCACTCCCCAAATGCCTGAGAGAGAGAGAGAGAGAGAGAGAGAGAGAGAGAGAGAGGGAGAGGCATCTTCCATCCATTGGTTCAATCCCCAAATGCCCCTAACAGTGAAAGCTACGTTAGACCAAAGCTGGGACCCTGGAACTCGAGTCAGCTGGGTGTCCCACGTGAGTATCTGGGATTGAAGCACTTGGGCCCTCTTCCACTGCCTTCCCATGTGCATATTCAGGGAGCTGGGACTTGAACTCACTCACCGATATGAGAGTGTGTGTCCCAGGTGGTGACTTTAACTGCGGAGCCACAATGCTGGCCCCGAGATGTATACTTCTAAAATAATATTTGTGGTTTTTAATTAAAGGATAAAGTATAATTTTAAACAAACACTTATTTTTTAATTAGAAGGGTAAAGTCACTTGAAATTGCCTTCCATGCACTTCTAGTCTGGGAAGCTTTTCTCCTCTAGGTTCTTTCTGGTGGAATTTCTTAAATGTTTTATAATAACATCCATGATTCACTTTATCCCTGTTTAGTTCCTTCACTCTGTGTTTGCATTCTACTCTCATTTGCTATTATTTTAAAATAATTAAATATTATTTAATCAATATGATATAAATAGTTTAACTTCAAATTTCTCTGTAAGGCTCTAATTGAAAAATATTAGCTCTGCCTTTGTTTTTCTGACCCTGTCATTCTGTTCTCATTCAACTCCTCAAATGAATCCCATTTTTCTGAATAATGTACTCGTATTGCTATTTCTTTATCAAATTTAGACACTGTCATATACTTCCTCTTATGGTAGATGAGGATTTTACATTATTACTTTCTTCTTTGTCTCATCCTTCATATGCAGTAGTAGAGCAATTTTTCGTTAAATGGCCAGTGTTCACATTAATTTGAATTATGTCAGTCTTATTAAGTAGCAAATAAAAAATTACTTCATGCTTTCTTTTTTGAACAACTTTTTGATTTTTTTGAACTTCATTATTGCTTTGCTTTTATTTCACTTCCTTAATAATGTATATAGCAGGGCTGGCGCCGTGGCTCACTTGGTTAATCCTCTGCCTGTGGTGCCGGCATCCCATGTGGGCGCTGGGTTCCAGTCCAGCTCTCTGCTGTGGCCCGGGAGTGCAGTGGAGGATGGCCCAAGTGCTTGGGCCCCTGCACCTGTGTGGGAGACCAGGCGGAAGCACCTGGCTCCTGGCTTCGGATCGGTGTAGCTCTGGCTATAACGGCCATCTGGGGAGTAAACCAACAGAAGGAAGACCTTTCTTTCTGTCTCTCTCTCTCTCACTGTCTAACTCTATCTGTCAAAAAAAAAAATGTATATAGCAATTGTGAATTATCACTAAACTCACTGACAAAGCTAGAGAGTCTCTTAGTAATATTTTCCAGATGGTCAGATTTATTTGGTGTTCTGTCTGTTGCAGTATTTTTCTTGAAGGCATCTCTTCTTGAGTTTTTCCGTGCTCTTGGATTACTCTGTCCTGGTTGCTAACTAGACCTGCTGCACAGCTATTGTCCTGGACAATCTCTTTGCCTCAATCCTCTGCTTGATCCTGTGTCTACTTTAATGTAAGTTCCTTTTGTCTTCCAAATATTTGTTTTGATCTCTTTCTTTCATATCCCAGACTTTTTCAGCGCTTTGGTAATCCTTGGCTATTGATTCATTTCAAAGTGAACATTAAAGAGCTGTTTGGAAGCCCTACTATCTGATGGTGTGGCTTGTCACCTGATTAGCTTCAACACAATGAGGAAGTGGTAATACCCATGCATGTGAAGGGTCTTCCAGAAGTTCACAGACAGTGTATATTATGAAAAAACTGTGTATGGGTTTCAAATGTTTTTGTACTAAACTAGATCTTTTGATTACACATTTCCATAAATGTTTTAAACTACTCTAGTATCTGACAGTCTTTTCTCTGGGACTGTTCAGGTTTTGTAGAAAATAACTTTCTGTGTCTTGGAGGGATGAGCCTGACTGTCAGTGTTTTGGGAGGGGATGTGGGGTTGGTGTGTGCCCCCCACTTTTCTGAGCTCAAACTTCCCTTGAATACCTCTATTTAGGCTGACACTCAAAACTTCATTTCTTTTTAAAATTTATTTTATTTTTAACTGACATATAATTGTATATATTTATGGGGTACACAGGGATTTCAAAACATGTATACCTCATAGAATGAGCAAAATAGAGTAATTGGTATATCTCTCACCTTACATATTTATCATTTCTTTGTGGAAAGAATATTCAGAATCCTCTTTTAGCTATTTTTAAGTACTTGATATTTCCTACACTTTTTGGAATTCTGTGAGCACTAAGGTTTTTCCATATTCCACTGGGTAAGTCATTTGTTTTTCTATTCATTTTTAACCTAAAGATCAGTGGAAATTTTTCATCTATTCTTATTTTCATCCATGTTCTCTTTGTCTTTGTAGTATATGCTTTATAATTTTTCTTTACTAATTCTTCAGTAATTTTAAAAGGTGGAGAAATGAAACCCATGTGTTTAAACCAATGCTTTCAATATTCTTTCCTAAAGTGGTATTTTGTTTTTTGTCTTTGAAAAAAGACTAAATATCCTGTCAGTGGTGTTTGACATTCCGCTGTCCTGTATTACAGTACAATGTCATACTTAGGGGCTCTCAGAATCGAAGGGACCATACAGACTAAACTCCCATAAGTGCAAAGGTCTCCTGTGTCTTCCTTGCGTGGTACTCGTCCAAAGGCAGAGCTCTTTAGTTTGAGAGAGTTTTGAAACAGTGGTGTTGGCTGTTTTTAACAGTAAAACCAAACTTTCCTTTTCAAACAAAATAAGCTGTTGAAGGGAGGTGGGAGGACTGGGTGCCAGGCTGCTCAGCCTCCACTTTGCCATATTCTGCTGCCCCCAAGCCACATACATGGAACGCCGGGAGCACAGTTTGAAATCCGCTGCCTCTCAGAGATGGCAAGTCCTTTGTTGACTTGTGTGCTTATCAGAGTGACTTTACACTATGGTCATCAGCTAATAGATGCTTTAGAGTTGCTGCTATACATTCATTTTTGTAGTGCCCTGGCAGAAAGATGACTTCAGAATTGTTTTTTTTTTTTTTCCCAACTACTTTTCTTATAGTAACTCAGTTATTTCTGAATATTGGAAGTGAGAAACACCTTGCTCTTACTTTAACAGAGAGATCTAAATTGCACAGATATGCTATAGGAATTCACCATTCCCATATCCTTAGTCAAAATCCTGACATAGGGTGGTGTTTTGCTGGAAACTCTAGAGTCTGAATTGATAAAGAGATTCTATTATAATAATTTTTTGAACTATTGATCAGTAGTGTTTGAAATGAAATCACAGAAATTACAATGATAGGAAATTAATGTGCAATGAAATGTACTGTGAGACATCCTTAAACAATATTATATATAGATATATAATCTGGTTTATACATATTATATATAATGGATTTTATTTTTTAGAGAAGTTTTAGATTCACAGCAAAACTGTGTGAAGACTACAGAAAATTCTCATATAACCCTTGCCCCTATGAACTCAAAATCTTGTCTATCATGAACAGACATATCATGCTAATTGGTGAACCTATATTGATATATTGTTATCATTCAAAGTCTAGTTCACTCTTGCTGTTGCACATTCTATGGGTTTTGATAAGCATGACAATGCACCCACATTTATAGCATCACACAAATCTGTTTTGCTGTCCTAAAAGTCCTCTGTGTTCTATCTGTTCACCCCTCTACCTCCAATACCTGGCAACCGCTGGTCAAATTTTACTCTTTTCCTAGTTTTGCCTTTGCCAGAATGTCATATAGTGGGAAGCATACTGTATGTAAACTTTGCAGATTGGCTTGTTTCATATAGCAGTATACATTAAGGTTTTTGTATGTATTTTCATGGCTTAATAGCTCATCTGTTTTTAGTACTGAATGATATCTCATTATCTGTACTTACCATATTTGAATCTATATATTTTTGTGTGTGTGTATATATATATATATATATTTGTTTCTATAATTACAGATCCTAAAGGAACATCACATGAATATATTCTATATATCATCTTCCCTATTCTTTTGGTCGTCATAGGAACCATTTGGTTTTTGATCTGTATCTACAGGTATGGACTAATGAGTCATTTTTCTTCTTTAGTGTTATTAAACTAGAAAAGAGTTGCAAATATTGACTTGACTGGGTAGATTAGGATGCTAACACTACCTCTCATAATCAAGAATAGTATGCTGAAGGTGTCAGAATTGAATTACTTTGAATGATGGGAGGGACTTTGCTAGGTTATTTAGACATACAAAAATGATAAATTAGGCAATTTAGGATAAGAATTTGAGAGGATGTATGATATTTTGTTTTGATTTGGGAAAGTAATTACAATTCCTTTTATGTTCCAAGGATGCGATGTCATATATATTCTATTGCACAGTGCTCCTATTGCATAATTTTACTTTCTTTTCCAATAACCAGAATTTTCTTATTTGGATTTTTTAAACACAAACAGTATTCATTCATTTTTGATAGTTCATTTCTGGTTCAGTATGGCTTCTATCAAAATGAAGCACAATTGTCAGTAGTTATTTAATTTTTCATTTTATAGCTGAACAGTGGTTTTTCCTGCACTCACTGGGGCTTAATTTATTTTTTATAGAAAATGTAAGTTGCAAAAACCAGAAGCTACTCCTGCTGTTGAGGAGGTAAGATCAACCAAAAAAACAAAAATAAAAACAAGAACAATAAAAAAAGAATATTTGCAAACTTTTAAGCCACATAGCCTGAAAAATATAACAGCACAATTTTTAATTTGTGGCAATATTCATGTTTTAGTTGAAAAATGCAAACATTCTGATTCAACTATTACAATAGTCAAGTACATTCATTTTCTTAATTAGCTGTCTACCAAGTACTATTTATACTCTATTCCAGAACCACATTTTCATTTCGTGACTGTAGCCTAATACACAAAATGTTTGCTTCATCTGGGCAAACTTTGGAGAAACTGAATTCATGTTTCTTCCCCCAGGAAATGATCTCTAATTCTTGGCTCCCCTCTTATAGTGTCATCATCATTTCCCTCTTACCCAGACTTAAAAACTATGCTGATCCTTGATCTTTTATAACCAGCTGCTAACTATGTCTTTGACTCTGCTTTGGAATAATTTTCATTTCACTTTGTTCTTTTTCCAATCCACTTACTCACAGCTATAGCTTCACATAGAGACTTAAGTAAACAACAGTTTTTTGGGAGCAGGTAAAATATTGGAACAAAGCTTTGCTCTTTAATGTTTATATCGGTCCTAAAATACAAGTATAAGCACTATGGGCAGATACTAAAGCTTCTGGGCACTTGTTAGGAAAACACAAATAGCTTCTGTAACAAAACACAAGTATTTTATGCAACAATTTCTGATCTTTTCAAACTGAGTTTGACTTTGAATTATTTTTTAGGATGAAATGCAGCCCTATGCCAGCTACACAGAGAAGAGCAATCCACTCTATGATACTGCAAACAAGGCAAAGATGTCTCAGATGTTACAAAGTGAAGTTGATGGCATGGGCCTCAATAGTTTATAGGTCATTGGAATTAGCACCAGGGAAAATGAATCAGGATAGTTCCAGAACAGAAGATCTATATTAACATTATATTGCAAAACAGTCCCTTAGAAGAAAAAGACATTCTAAAGGATTTGCATTTATATCCTAATACAATTGGAATTTTAGAATCTTAGCTCTTTCTTTGAAGAACGTGTTATTACAAAGAAAGCACATGCTTATGATAAAATATTCAAATTGTGCAATACAGTAAATAATGAAAACCAAGTTTTCTCAAGAAATAACAATGCAGGAGCAAGTATCAACAGTTTCTTATGTACCTTTTAGAAAATTTTTATATATATATGATCAGTGTATTGCCTATGGTATGTTGGTGTGTTTATGTGTCTATTTATGTATATATAATACACATACACACAGGCACATACGTATCCCTGCCAAGACAGGCATGAGACATACTGTAATGTTGCTCTGTATTTATAAAATGCTGAAAACATGTCTTGGGTATCTTTTCATGTCAACACAAGCAAAGCTACCTCATTCTTTTTATCGCTACATAAAATTCCATGTCTGGTTATGTCATAATTTAACTAAACACAGTCCTAGTGATTGGACATTTAGATGGTTTTGAGTTTTGTGTTATAAACTATACTGCTTAGAATGTTTCTTGTGGATTTATCTCTTTACATTTGTTAGAGAATATCTGCAGGATAATTTACTTGAGTGGAATTGCCAGATCAAAGGGTGTGTATTTTTATTATTGAAAGATATGTCTAATTGTATCAATTTATATTCCCTCCAACAGTGATTGAATGTGCCTCTTCCTATACTCTTATTTTAATATCTGTTATTTCTACATCTCCAGTTTCCACTTTCCCTTTTCAATCAACTAGTTAGTAAATATGATGTAAGATTATAAGTATTACACTATTTAATAAAACAGTTTATATTTTTGTCATTTGTAAGACAGAAAATGCATGTGTGAGGATGTCAGTTTTGTCTGAATTCATCTCTCTAAAAGTGTTGATATTTAATGCCAGTAGTTTTGCAGATGTGACAAGTTGGAATTGTGTTTTATGGTGTCCATTCTATTCTGATGTATTTATCAACTAACAAATATCTATGGACTATGTAAGCAGCTAATTAGGCACTGTGGAGGAATTGGTTTCTATGTGCTAAAAGAGTGGCCAGGAATTTCTGTGACTCTCTCCTCCATTTTTATGTGGACTAAACGATTGGTTTTATGTATACAGAGGATTTTTAATATCATGAAAAATATATCTAATTATGGGAACAATGAATCTGTTTTCTCTAGAACAGGAAAAGCATTAGTATTTTTTCACTATGATGGAAATTAAAGTAATACCCATTCATGTTATACCGTCTGAGTTGGTTTATTTTGTTATATTAATATCTTTTCTTTCTTCCAGACATTTAAGTTATTGTAGGCTTTATCCTGAAAGAGATTTTTAGTTTATTTCAGATGTAAAAATAATATTATCACAGTTGGTACATGATTATTTTGATCAAACCATTTGACATGACCAAAAAACCCAATCAGTTAAGTATCTGCACATAATTCAAATATTATCAAGTTGTGTACAACAGACATTTTAACCCTGTCCTTGAACTTTTGTTAATCCTTCATATATCCGTGGTTGGGATATGGCTCAGTTAGCAAGGCCAATTCTATGTTTAAATATCACTGAAGAACAAAACTGTGAGTATGTCTTAACTTGACAATGCAAAAACAAGCATGATAGATTAAAGGAGGAGGAAGCAGGGTAGGGGAGGGAAAAACGTTCAACCATGATGTTCAGAAATGAATCTGAAAGCAAAAGAGGGGGGTAAAAGGATTGAATAAGAATCTCAGATCACAGTATTAGAACTGTCCAAGTGTTGGCCAAACCAACTGCGGAGCCTTGGAACAAAGATAGCTTCTCAATAGTCTTTTAGATGATAGATGGTGAAATCTTGATACCCCTTCAAGATTGATCTTGGCTGAGGAATGCCCTGGAAGATCACAGCCACAGCTCAGAAGCTGAAATGGGTCCTGACGGCATTTTCAGCTGGAGGCCGTCGGCTACCTGCACTCTTCCCAGCTGAATATGTCTTTTCTTGATGGGAAACTGAACGCTCACCTACATTATGCCTCCTTATTTTCAAGTCTTCTGTGACATTTCATTTTAGGCATACCTCTTATTTTAAAAATTATAGCTTTTTAATTAAGAGGATGTAGCTGATTTTTATGTCATTTGAAAATTTTCTCTTTAATAAGGACATTTAGACCACACATATTTGTTTGATTACTTATGTATTTGGTCATGTTTTTACGGTATTATTTTATATGTCTCATTTACTATGCCCCTCTTTTTCATTTTAGCTTTTCCTCAGTGCTTTCCTGGATTTGTTAATTCTTTCTCTCTCTTCCAACACCTACTAATTTGAAACTTATCCATTATAATTCACATAATTAGTAGATTTTTAATCTATAAATATGTAAAATAGTTTTATTAATATATAACTTACTTATGTAAAGTCTACAATTTATTAAATTTTGTGCATATTTAAATGTACAGCTTAAAGTTTGACAGTTTTACACCTGTGAAACCATTAGCATAAACAAAATAATGAACTTTCCCATTGTCCCTTAAAGTTTTCTTATGCTTATTTGTAGCCATGTCTGCAAACCCTTCTTGTTGCCCCATCCACCATTCCCCAGGAAACTATTGCTCTGCCTTCTGAAACTGTGTATTAGTTTATGTTTTGTCCTCTGTTTTAACGTGGAAGTGTGATAGTTTTAGATTATATACATAGTCTTATGATTCACTTTAAAGAAATTTTTGTATATGGATGAGGTATTGGTTGAAGTTCATTTTATTGCATATGAATGACTTTATATGTGGATATCTCAGTATCACTAATTTGTCTCTTTATCTTTGTTGAAAATCATTTGCACTTACATGTATGGGTCTATTATTTTTGAATAATTTTTTTTATTTATTTGAGAGTCAGAGTTACAGACAGTGAGAGAGAGAGAGAGAGACAGAGAGAAAGGTCTTCCATCTTCTGGTTCACTCCCCAAGTGTCCACAACAGCCAGAGCTGCGTTTATCTGAAGCCAGGAGCCAGGAGCTTCCTCCAGGTCTCTCATGCAGGTGCAGGGGCCCTTGTATCTGGGCCATCTTCTATTGCTTTTCCAGGCCATAACAGAGAGCTGGATCAGAAAAGGAGCAGCCGGAACTAGAACCAATGCCCATATTGGATGCTGGCACTGAAGGTGGAAGATTAACCCACTGCACTAAGGCACTAGCCCCTGTGTGGGTCTATTTATAGAGACTCTCTGCTGTGTTTCATTTCATTATATGTCTATTTTTATTTCAATATCTCAGGTTGCTTCCACCTTTTGGCTGTTTGTGAATAAAGCTACTATGAACATGGTGTACAAATATCTGTTCATGCCTCTGCTTTCAGTTCTTTTGGGTATGTGCCCAGAAGTGGATTTGCTGGGTCACCAGAGTGGGAAATATCAAGAAAACTGCAGTTTTTTTTTTTTAGAAAGTGCACACCTCTTTCTATAATGACTATATTGTTGTATAATCCAACTAGCAGTGCAAAAGTGTTCCAATTTTTCTACATCTTAGTGGGTAGGAATTGGTATCTGTTTGATTTGTGTTTCTCTAATGCTTAATGAGGCTGATTATCTTTTCATCGGCCTATTGACTACTGGTATACATCCTTTGAAGAAATGTATTTTCAAGTCCTTTGCCCATTTTAAAATTTGGTTCTTCATTTTTCGTTGCTTTTCCAAACAACAAAATGTTCCAGTTTCCTTGTGTACCTTCTTTGCCTCGAATCTGGAAGAAACTATTTCCCCAAGAGTCCTGGTTCTTTTTCTTGGGAAATGGCATAGAATCCACAGTTTGGATCCTAGGTGTGCCTGTTGTTACAGGCGTGGCATTGTTTTTACAATGAGCTTTGTCTTGGTTACTGTTTCTGTAGTCTACCTCTTTTAATCCTTTTAATCTCTACTTTTTGTGTCTGTTGTTAAGTATATCAAATTTTTATAGAAAGCTTTTATTTAATAAATATGTTTCATAAGTACAATTTTTGGATTATAGTGGTTCTTCTCCCCATACCCACCCTCCCACCCCTACTCCCGTCCCACCTCCTACTCTCTCTACCATCCCATTCTTCATTAAGATTCACTTTTAATTATCTTTATATACTGAGGAAGGATTTCAACAGTTTGCACCCACAGACACACAAAGTATAAAAAACTGTTTGAAGACTAGTTTTACCATTAATTCTCATAGTACAACTCATTAAGGACAGAGGTCCTACATGGAGAGCAAGTGCACAGTGACTCTCGTTGTTGACTTAACAATTGACACTCTTATTATGACGTCAGTAATCACCCGAGGCTCTTGCCATGAGCTACCAAGGCTACGGAAGCCTTTTGGGTTCATAGACTCTGACCTTATTTAGACAAGCCCATAATCAAGTAGAAGTTCTCTCCTCCCTTCAGAGAAAGGTAGCTACTTCTCTGAGGGCCCCTTCTTTCCACCAAGATCTCACTCACAGAGATCTTTCATTTAGGTTGTTTTTTTTTGCACAGTATCTTGGCTTTCCATGCCTGAAACACTCTCATGGGCTTTTTAGCCGGATCCGAACACCTGAAGAGCTGAATCTGAGACCAGAGTGCTATTCAAGGCATTTGACATTCTGTGAGTCTGCTGTGTGTCCTGCTTCCCATGTTGGATCATTCTCTCCTTTTTAATTCTATCAGTTATTATTAACAGACACTTGGTCTTATTTATGTGATACCTTTGACCCTTAATCCTATCTTTCTGATCAGTTATACACTTAAACTGATCACTATAACTAGTAAGATGGTATTGGTACCTGCCAACTTAATGGGATTTGGAGTTCCATGGCAAGTTTTCAGCTTTACCCTTATGGGTAAGTCCAAGGAAGTGTGTGTTGAACAGTACATCTCCTCCCTCTCTTATTCCCATTCTTATTTTTAACAGGGATCAATTTTCTATTGGATTTAAACACTTAAGAATAATTGTTTGTTAATTAAAGAGTTCAACCAATGGTATTAAGTAGAACAAGAATTACTAAAAAGAATAATATAGGAAGCTGTTCCTTGACAGTCAGGACAAGGGCTGATCAAATCATTGTTTCTCATAGTGCCAGTTTCACTTCTACAGGCTTCCTTTTAGGTGCTCAGTTAGTTTTCACAGAACAGTGAGAACATGATATTTGTCCCTTTGGGACTGGCTTATTTCATTCAGCATGATGTTTTCCAGATTCCTCCATTTTGTTGCAAATGACCGGATTTCATTTTTTTAACCGCTGTGTAGTATTCCATAGAGTACGTATCCCATAATTTCTTTATCTAGTCTTCCCTTGATGGGCATTTAGGTTGATTCCATGTCTTAGCTATTGTGAATTGAGCTGCAATAAACATTGAGGTACTGACAGCTCTTTTATTTGCCAATTTAATTTCCTTTGGGTAAATTCTGAGGAGTGGGATGGCTGGGTCATGTGGTAGGGTTATATTCAGGTTTCAGAGGAATCTCCAAACTGTCTTCCGTAGTGGCTTTATCATTTTGCATTCCCACCAACAGTGGATTAGGGTTCCTTTTTCCCCACATCCTTGCCAGCATCTGTTGTTTGTTGATTTCTGTATGTAAGCCGTTCTGACCCCAGGTGAGATGAAACCTCATTGTGGTTTTGATTTGCATTTTCCTGGTGGCTAGTGATCCTGAACATTTTTTTCATGTGTTTCTTGGCCGTTTGAATTTCCTCTTTTGAAAAATGTCTTTTTAGGTCCTTCGCCCATGCTAAGTGGATTGTTTGTTTTGTTGTTGTGGAGTTTCTTGATCTCTTTGTAGATTCTGGTTATTAATCCTTTATCTGTTGCATAGTTTGCAAATATTTTCTCCCATTCTGTCGGTTGCCTCTTAACTTTCCTGATTCTTTTGCAGTTCAGAAATTTCTTGATTTGATGTAATCCCAGTTATTAAATTTGGCTTTGACTGCCTCTGCTTCTGGGGTCTTTTCCAAGAAGTCTTTGCCTGTGCCTATATCTTGCAGTGTTTCTCTGATGTTCTCTAATAATTTGATAGTGTCAGGTTATAGATTTAGATCTTTAATCCATGTTGAGTGAATTTTTGTGTAAGGTGTAAGGTAAGGGTCTTGTGTCATACTTCTGCATATGGAAATCCAATTTTCCCAGCACCATTTCTTGAAAAGACTGTCCTTGCTCCAGGAATTGGTTTTAGCTCCATGATCAAATATGAGTTGGCTGTAGATGTTTGGATTGATTTCTGGTGTTTCTATTCTGTTCCATTGGTCTATCCATCTGTTT